CTTTTAAACTCTCATTTACCCTCACAACCGCTCTCATTCCTCCGGTACACCTCTGAATGTATGTGTTACAGTAGTGGAATGATTTCACCTATATATGTATATATACACTGTTTTAAAAAATCCAAAATATACAATTGCATGTTCATGTAAAGGGGAAGGACCAGTTAAAGTGTTGTGAGGTTATCTGAGTCCTTGAGTTGACCTTCTGACGGTAAATACTAAATTGATTGACTAATCTGTTCAATAATATTCTAATCTTTTTCAGAATTGGATAACAAACTAAAACAATTACATGCACAATAATGGTATGGTTATTCTTTCAATTCAATGTAACACACTTTGACAGGCAGGCTCTGATTGCGTCACTTATTTAGACTGATGAAAATGAATAGCGCTAGTGCGAGTGTTATTGCACTACTGCTGTCGTTGACACAGATTAATTGATTATGATCCGTCTACTGAGCGGGCAATTGATTGACGGTTGAATTCATATTTTAATGATGACTCCCAGAATGTACAAAAGGCAGTTTTGTGAAGGCGCATGAAACATACATGCACATTATCTACACTGCTACTGGTACTTTAAAAAGCTTTTGAACTGTGACAGTACTCCGAGAGAGAATACATCTATAAATGAAGGCCATAGTTGTTATTGAATGTAGGATCAACTGACATAAACTGAAATTAAAACTACTTGAAAAGAGCACATGAAAATATCCATTTATACTCAGTTTCACATTTTCTGTTAACACATAAGTCTAAGTCATAACTATGTTGGTCACATGTTCTGTTAACATAACATAATGTACAATTTACCCGTTTCAGTAATGTGAAATTCAATTATTTAACATTGACAACAATGTTTCCTTAACAAATGGCTGCAGGGTAGTGGGATCATCAATTCCCACTCACATTAACAGTCTAATACATACATTTAATTAATATAGTCCCTTTTTCACACATTCTACCTAGACTTTGTTTATTATTTTCCATAATGAAGCAGGATTTCTGAGGTTTTAATTTGAACAACCAATCATTGATGGAGTTTGCTTTGTTGGTGGATTGCTGTAACTTGGCGAGTATGCTGATATGTAGCTCCTTCATCTGAACCCAAGGTGGTAAATAAATGTGTAGTGTGTTCTCCCAGTAATCTCTCCAGACTGCTGTGTGCGTCTGGTGGCCTGTGGTGAGGAGTCTGGCCCAGCTTCATCTCCCAGTCTCCCACATTGCCACACATATGGCGCTGCCTTTGTGTCAATTGTGCTCTATGGGGTCTCTAATAATTAACAAGATGACATACAAATTAATTGACAAACTCATGGTGGTTGCGTTGCGGTTTCTATTACGTAGTCTTTTGTTTCAGATGTATTGAGCTGTAGCAGTTTTTTAAATGGACCTCTCTCAAAACTGTGAATGCATTCTTAATGTATAAAGCGACTTTGAAATGGCAAATCCAATGAATGACATTAGCGCTGTGCGTATGTATGTTTGGATGTGTCATTATGGATTTTGCATGCTGACAAATGACTGACGAGCTTCACTTAAGAAGGACAATACAATATTATAAATGTGCTTCAATGCATTCCCAAGACTCTGCCAAGGACACTATTTCCTTTATTTCTATACTGTGCCATACCAGACTCAACTGAAACAGAGAGGCACTGCAAGGCTTACTGTAAGGGTAACAATATGACCCTTATTGTTGAATTTTGCGCAACATCAGAAAATAACAATAGTGTTAATTGGATGTGCCGCAGTATTAACTAGCTATTGTTTTTCTGCTGTGTTGATAATGTTTAATTCAGAACCAATGGTACATTCTCAAGGATAACTGTGTTAGAAAATAAACATCTTACTATTACACATAGACTGACATCTTTTTTTGTTCACTTAGACTTTCATTATGAAACTTTCATTCAATTCCATCTGATTATTGACTACATTCAAATGTGTATATTTCTAAAGGTTAATGTTTTCAGGAACATCTTTAATTACTTTTCGGTAAACTTTTAAAAAAGTAATAATAAACCTCCCAGTTTTAGAATTGTGTTATTTTTATTTTCCATTTTCTCCAACAAAAACATCTCCAGGTATATTAAACGGCCTGAGGGAAGAGTGTTGTTCTCAAAAGGTCATGAGTGAATAATTAGCCATTTTATTTTTTTGCTGAATATAATATATCCATTGCTCTCAACCAAAAGGGGACACAAAATAAAAAAAACATGTGCCTGGTCATCATTTAACTCCAACATAAATCCGGCCTTTGAAATGTAATTACACAAATGTGTTTTTTATTGTTCTATATTCTAAAAAAAACCTTTATGCTTCTGCCTATATGATCAAAAGCCTTCATTACTATTGCACCATTGCTTGCTGCAGGCCCTAATTGGAGCTTCAACAAAAGCAAGCAACATTTGATATAATGGCTCCCTCCCAAACAGGAATGCCAGGCCTGCATTATGCTTCATTCCCTGAGGGGCGGACAGAGATGTCATCATTAGTGGGCAGTGGACACTGGCCATGGTGCCGAGGTCTAAGAGTGGTCAGCCAGGCCCGTGGCCCAGCAGCAGCGGCTACTTTCAATTTTTTCCTGTCTCGGCTCCCATCTGGCCACGTGACCTCGCACAAATCTGCTCCCGCTGAATACATGTAAGGAGCTAATGAGGAAGGAGGCTTTGTGAAGACTGGGAAAAGGGCACATCTTCCTCTTCTACTCGAAAAGGAGGGAACAGTCACTGTGGTCTTTTTTTTTGGTCAAGTTTTATTAACTTGGCTGACCTTCACACAAACAATTAACATTTACAGAAAACACAGCCCCTCCCATTATGTTCCTCATCTCCATCTTAATCTTCAACCTCACCACTAGCTGCACTTTTCCCTACTTCTGCAGGGGAAATGTAACATTAAAGTAGCAAATTAAATTGCTCAATGTACTTTTAAGACAATTGCAAGGTGATGTGGATTATGCAGTAGAAGGTCACTCATCTGAAGGTCCCTGACATGTTCTGTAATTGGCTAAGGGCCACCACTGTCACAGTAAAAAGCCAACAGTGAGCAGTGAGTATGTGACCTTATCTACTTATCCTCCTATCGGACCATCAGCAAACCTTTATGCATTCTGAAATATTCTGTAATAAAGATAGAAAATGGGATGAGAAATGTTGAAAGTATCAGAACTCAAAGGAAGTTCCATCAATAATCCGTATTAATTTACACATGGATGATAAGTCGTGAATGTAAGAACTTGACCACCCACACAAGTTGAATGTTCACTGTCTGTAGACTTTATTCAATACGGATATATTAGAGACATCATCCATTGGTTTCTAAAGGGTATTGTTTAAGCTTTAAAGTGGGCTGCATTGAAAGTAGGCAACATTGCTGTGCAGACACTGCCTTGCTCATGTTATTACATAATGCAGTCAGCGGAGGAATGTTCAGAGCAGGCAACTAGCAGCTAGCAACCTGTGATTGCGCCCACCTCTTACTTAAATCAGACACATCCAAACTGCATAATTCTTAGCCTTGATATCATTTACATTTAGACATGTGAGTTATACAATACTTCACCCCTAATAATGTTCCATAAGTAAATACATTTGCAATGAAGTCCCAATCCGTTTTTTACAACATACAATACAGCTTTATTTATAAATCACTTTAAAACCTCCAGACCAAAGTGCTGTACAGTCAAATAAACAAACAACACATACACAAAAACACACAGCACAGCTCACACACACACACACACACACACACACACACACACACACACACACACACACACACACACACACACACACACACACACACACACACCATAAAACAAGTAAAAACAATAGACACTGTGAAAGCATTAAAAGCAACATTCTAAAATATCTTCTCTAAGGAGAAAAGCTATAAACATGTTAATTTAAATTCTTAATTTTGTTAAATGTTACTGCTTGTTCAAATCAAATCAAGTTTTATTTGTATAGCACATTTTTAAAACGATTTTTGGTCGAGCCAAAGTGCTGTACATACAATAGAAACACAACAGCAAAAATAAAAAAATCACACAAAGGGGAATGTCAGGAGTCGTGCTCCGCTCTGACTAGAAGGCCAGAGAAGAAGTGAGTTTTAAGTGTGGATTTCAAAAACCCTATTGTCTGGGCCGACCTCACATGGAGGGGCAGAGTGTTCCAGAGCCTGGGGCCAGCTGCTGCGAAGGCTCGGTGCCCTCGGGTTTTGAGCCTGGTCTTGGGCACTATCAGCAGCAGCTGGTCAGCCAACCTTAAAGCTTGTTGTCGTTGTCTCAAGTGTCCATTAAGGGAACTGCAATATCTGGCACTTCCCTGTTAGCTTCGTATGTTCATCTTTTATTTGTCTTCATTAGCATCTTAGTTGCCGTTCTGTACTGCCTGTTGTGAAAGAAATGATATGTTAATAAAAAGTTTGTTTTTCTAAATGTGAACTAGCCGGCTAAGTTGAATAGGAACAAACTCAGCAGCTTTGCCTGTATAGGCTCCTCTCCTACTGTGCGAGTTACCCTGTCATCCTTGTATGTGAGGTGATTTTATCCTGACATAAACAGAAAATGAGATTTGCATTAACACTAGCTTCTACTCTTTGTGTGTGTGTGTGTGTGTGTGTGTGTGTGTGTGTGTGTGTGTGTGTGTGTGTGTGTGTGTGTGGTGTGTGTGTGTGTGTGGTGTGTGGTGTGTGTGTGTGTGTGTGTGTTGTGTGTGTGTGTGTGTGTGTGTGTGTGTGTGTGTGTGTGTGTGTGTGTGTGTGTGTGTGTGTGTGTGTGTGTGTGTGTGTGTGTGTGTGTGTGTGTGTGTGTGTGTGTGTGTGTGTGTGTGTGTGTGTGTGTGTGTGTGTGTGTGTGTGTGTTGTGGTGTGTGTGTGTGTGTGTGTGTGTTGTGTGTGTGTGTGTGTGTGTGTGTTGTGTGTGTGTGTGTGTGTGTGTGTGTGTGTGTGTGTGTGTGTGTGTGTGTGTGCGTGTGCTCTTCCATTTGTAGAACCTGATAAAGAACCTGCCGGAGCAGAAAGAGCTGAATGCGCTGGCGGAACTAAAGGGTGAATATGAAGAGCTAGTGGAGTCGGAGCAGTTTGGCATTGTGGTGAGTATAATTTCCTGGTGACTACTGGATCGCCTCAAGAAAACACACAGTATACACAGTCATTCTCCCAGTCTGCTATAGTCAAACACTTTCAAGCATGCACAGTTGAGAAATTCAATTTTATTTGTATGCCCACTCTCTTTGTGCCTCAATACCTCGCACAGACTCCCAAACGTGCCCCCCCCAGTGTTGTTTCACACATTATTTTTTAGGCGACTGCTGAGTTTAGACAGCGATTTCAGAGACTTTCAACATTTTAAACATATAAGGGGCATATTTAATAACACAACTTCCAAATGACAGAGACACTCAAAAAAAGAAGCGATTTTTACTCGCCAAGAACATTTCAATCGTTCTTGATTAGGATTTAGCAGCAAGAACTCATATTTTTGACATCAACTGTCAATGTTGTCTCGAGATCAAATCAAACCCTAAGGCTATGAATCCTGTCTGCAAAAAAATGTATTTGAAAAGCATGCAGCTGCACTCGACCCACTTAGTGATGTATCCCCATCCTCTAATCAATATACAATGACCAGCCAGCGTTTTATCTTTTGCAGCCAAAGGATAAATAATGCTCTTGGTATCAAACTAAACTTACAATATAGCCTTCAGAAAGTAATATATTTTTCAGACAACTCTTAATGATTATCATGTAATTACAGCTCATATTAAGCAGGTGAGCATTTAAGGTCCAATCTGGAATTGTACCTAATCTACTGACATGTTTCCCTTGATTATGTAAGACAGTTAAAATGTGGGATGTGTGTTGCGTGAACCTTTTTCATACACCTGTGTAACTTTACTTAACACAAAGAGTGACTGAAAATAGGTGTTCTGTAAATCAGTTTTTAAAGAAGGGAAGTGCATCATCAAGCTTTTCAAGCTGTTCTGACCTTTCCTCTTAGTTACAGCTGTGATTCATTTTGAATTAACTGCTCTTGCCATCCATTCAACCAAGTGAATATCCAGCACTTTAAGCAACTGGACAATAAAGTGTTATCTTTTAACTCAACTTTACAACAAGATCATATAAATACATTCCACACTTTTACAAAATGTGTGTTCAATTTAGACACAAAGGTCGAATCTGTGCTCCATCTTTTGAGCTTGTAGAGGAAACTTCTGTGTAGCTATGCAGTGGGAGTCACCGACTCAGGAAGGAGACACGGTAGGAGCAGTAGCTTTGATGTCAAACACATGATGGTTTATTTGGAGTTACGGCCGGAGGATTCACATCACAAGTCCAAGAGTCAGAGGTTCTGACTTCACGGTAGAGTTGCCACGTCAATTCTGGAGAGCCTCTCTCTTGCCAGCCCATCTAACTGGTTTCGCAGAGAATAAACAACATATTTGAGAAGATAGCCTAAACAGTGTGGGAACACTGAGCTACTTGCGTCGGACACCTATGACCTCGAAGATTTCACCTTGGAGTCCACAAATACAGAGAAGGAAGTGTCCCAGTGTACCCACAACACAGACCATCTGTGACCCAGTATTGACCGGTCACAGAATGGGAACAATAACATTATTGGCTGAAGCAGCCTGTGTCCTTAAAGAAGGTAAACAGACATCAAGGTTTGTCCTGTATGTCACATCTTGGCGTCTATGACAATTATTTCCATAACAGAGCTATTATTTTTAGTTGTCGAATAATTTGTTCTGCCTATGTCTTTTAGGAGATGTAATGAAGCAGGGGTGGCAGTTCCCCCCTGTGATCACACCAATTTTGTGATCATATACCGGCCCACTGATGAAGAGCTCCTCAATGCTGAGCTATTTAGTTCCCCTGGGAAATAAGCCATGTTCAAGCTTTACTCTGACAGAGCTGTCACCAATGTGCTCCCTTTCATTGTGATTTCTCCTTATTGTACACAAATCAAGTGAGGGAGTGGAGATGAGTGAGTGTGCTTATGTGTGTGTTTGTGTGTGAATGCACATTCATTAGTGCGAGGATGTGAGCGTTTGTTGTTGTGGGGAGAGTGGCGGTGTTGTTTGATAGACAACTTCCCCATGCACATGAATACATTTGAGCAGTAATGAAATATTATGGGCTGGATCTGAAGGTTGCCTTGAAGCATTGGATTAAGCATCAATCTGAATATTGTGTCTTGTTGCTGCTTTTCTACTTATCTTACAGCCAAAACCCAATTTGTTTTAATTTTTTCCCATTTTCATAACTATATTTCCTCTCATGTATTCTGACTTCAGTGATTCTACTCCCAAGCCAACAATTATTGATTGAGGCTGTTATATTATTTACAACATATCCTTTTAAGAGTAAATTCCTTTATCAATCAGAAAGTCACGAGGGAGACAGAAGAGAGGTTAATCCGATTGGCTGACGAGGGTAGTTGATGATCAAATCAGTAACAACACTACTGACTTTAAATGATTCATTCTATGTCATTATACAACCAACCAAGTTCTAGTGCTGTTAGAACTTGGATTCTAAAATAATTTTCAAATAACTCTAAGATAGTCAGGATTCAACCAAATTCATGCTTGAATAATCACATTATTTACTCATATAGAGATGTGCTTTATTGCTCTATCATGTGCATCTTCCTGTCAAGGGAGCAAACACCGTCAGTGTTTTCAAGTTTTACACTTTACTTAATATATACACTTTTAAAAGTGAATCAGACAACTGGTGAGCTTACATACAGTACGTTAAGAGGGATGGCCCATAGCATTTGTTATACTAACGTTCACCTCATGTCCGTGTTGTATGGGGACATTGTGTTTCTCTCAAAAAGAATGTGCAAGTTTCTGCAAGTACTACAGTGATATTTGTAAATCATGCCAGCATGCTCGCCCCTGCCCTACAGAGAACAAATGTGTTCATTTTGAAACTTGGTGCCACTCTCCCTGTAGTTATGTTGAGGGACGGCTTGCAAACATAAGTGCACAAAATGACTAGAAAACAAACAAGTGGCTTTCAGAATGTGGAGTTGCCGACAAGATGAAAATCGGCTCAATTACCCTGAAAACTGCACAACTGTAACAATGCCTTGTTTTTGTTAGTATGTACAAGCTAAAGTATTCCTACATTGTTTTTTGTTTCTTACCCTCAGATGAGTTCATTAAAACTGCTACGACCACGTCTTAACGGCATTATATTCAAACTGACGTTTGAGGAGCAGGTGAACAACATCCGGCCGGACATCATGAATGTGACGTTTGCCTGTGAGGAGGTGAAGAAGAGTGAAGGCCTAAGCAACCTCCTGGAGTTGGTGTTGCTGGTCGGCAATTACATGAATGCCGGCTCAAGGAATGCCCAGACGTTTGGTTTCAACGTCAACTTCCTTTGCAAGGTAACACACCACACAGACACACACCATGATGTGAACAATGAACTGATATTGGCATAAAAGGAGCAACGCAAACATGTATGTAAATGCGTCTATTTATATATGAATACATGTACATTTATTAAAATGTGTCCAAAGCAAAACAAATCATTTGGCTCAATCTAAGCCTCAGTAGATCACAGGGAAGCCTCAGAGGATAAGTGTTGCAGAACTCGTATGCGTGTTATCTGGTCAAAAGTCCCACAGGGTTGCAGGTGCATGAAGTAACACATACGTGCAAAGCAAAGCACTTGATAGAGAGAAAGAAACAACATTCTAGGTCAGTAAGTATTATTGGAGTATCAAGGTTCTTTAATGATTTCTAAAGACATAGAATAATCATCTGACCAAAAAGTGTTATGTAACAGTGTATGGATTGGGATTTGTTTCAGTCATTAAACTGTCTTATGTTATGAACATTGAAATGCATACTTATCATTCTCAGTCAGACTCGTTGAGCCTTAATCAAATGCTACTCTCATATGAAAGAGACCATTTCAAAAGATCCATTTGCTGCAAGATAAAAGGTCTACTAGGTGTACAAATAAGTCATCAGTTGAGCCTTTTTCAAGCATTCCTTAAAGTACCTTGAAGGAATGTGGTCTTCTCAAATCTTCAGTACCTATTAATTAAAAACAATGTTTCAATACAACACATATCAAAACATGTAGAGCACAGTGGAACTTGCCAGAGGGTGCTAATATCTGTGTCCACTGCCAGGTACAAAAATCACAGCATGCCAACGGTGTGAAAGAGAGGACTGGCAGCCATGGGTACACAGCAACACAGAGCACACGCACGCTCTATTAGCAAACCTGTTTACACACACCTTGAGGACATATTCCCCATACATCTCCATACAAAATATAAAACTTGGCAAATGCACATTGTTCAAATTAATCCTCATAATGTTTGACTTTATTCAATGCCAACTGTTTGAAAAGATAAAGTTCCAGCAAAACATTTACAAAATCAAAAGCATGTCATTATATTTAATTGAGAGCCAAACAAGTGCTTCTATCTTCTCCCTTTAAAGTAGCTTTCACACTCTGGTGCTTTGTAGTTTAGGCAACCATTGTCAGTGTCTTATCTAATTGATGATAAAAACTAATAAGAAGATGTATTGGGCAGCTTGTAGAATGCTTGGAAAAACCTTGTGAGGGCGATGAAGGGGGGTGGGGCATACTTTCTCCCAGCTTTTCCTAAAATTAGCGATCAAGAAGGGGGAAGAAATAACCAACACAAATATAAAAATGCAGCCTGTGTGAAATTATTCTCAACTCTGCGGTTCTGTAGCAGTCATACAAATGTCATGAGAAGCAAAAGCCATCATCTCAAATGGATCAATAATGTGAGAACACTCAACATGGGAGTTTTTCCATATGTGAGACCAACGTAGGAATGACATAAAGCTACCTACCATGCACTTGTGAAGCCAGTCATCTTTGCAGGTGTGAAAAGGGTTTTAGTACAGTGAATCCAGTGTGCCTTCCGTATTTCTGCAGGCAGACTGAATCAGTGTGGAGTGTCAGTTATAGAGCCTGGTAATGCCTCAGGGGGCTGATTGGGCCATTATAGATGGACAAGAAAAAAGTCTACTTTCTCACTTTAGTCAATCCAGTAAATGGCCCCCTGGGTGGCAGGTCTAGGGTACCTAATGGGCTCATCAGGGAGGATGAGGTTTTGATGATGGGAATGACTAGTATGAGGAAGGGCATACGCTGACCCACCTACATCCCTTCACCGCAGCCCCACGTCCGGCCAAGGACACCCACATCTCCTGGGAGCCCGCCTGGTCACATGCATATTGCAAACATCCGCTGTTGCTTTAGAAGGACTGCGGTGGAATGTGGAATACATGTCACTATCGTTAAGTGTCAATGACATGTAAGCAAATGTAATGATAGGAACAGTTTTACCCATATTTATCCAAGGAATATCCATATTGTAAGAAAAGTACAGAATAAAACATAGATTCTCTTATGAAACATATTGAGTAATTGGATAAAACCATCTGCTGTGTGACTCAAAAACAATGAAATATGTGTTTTCCTCTTGGGTTTTATCCCACTGAATAAATCCCAGTTACAGGCTGGGCTTAATAATTAATGACCACATGGCAACCACTTGTGTTCAGATGAAGTTAAACAGAACAGGCTACTTGTTAGACACTTGGTTAAAAGAGAGTCCTCTACCCAGCTGACCTTGTGTCCTGCTCTTGAAATATAGTATTTTGATTATACAATTACAGACCCCATGTACACATTGAAGTAACTTGGTTCTTATATTCACACAACTCGTTCTCTATGTGTCTCTGTTTACTGTATAGTACTTTCCATTATTGTTCTTCTTCTACATATTATCATATATAACTGCTATAAGAGCAGGTATAAAATGTGATGCCCTGTGCTGCAGCTCCATCTGCAGAAGTTAAATTGAGCAATCAAGAGCCGACAATCCTTCTGTTATGGTGAAGCTTATTTATTCCCATTGCTGCTTCTTCTGTTATTAGTTAATTATTGTGTTATTTATTTATTTCTGATCTGGATATATAACGGGGGATTGTGTTTGCTTGTAAACAACCTTGCCACTCTAAATGCTGAATATATTGGATTGTATATTACTAACCAGTCAGGGATTTGAAATAATGCTACCTCAAGGCAATTTATGTAGTGAGAGATTGAATGATATCACTGTTTAGAATTTGCTTCCAGCTACAGTGTAATGAAGCAGCATTATTCCATCAATTTCAAATGAACATATTTTTTGGAGTAGTATCTTTTATAAACACTTCATCTTGTTCCACCATTAATGCTTTATGGGATGATACACATTGAAAGCAGTTAGTGTACAACATGTTTAAAAAAAAAATGTAGTTCCGGTTATTTTCAGAGGTAAAACTAGTATCTTCAAGTAGAGCATTCCATAGGTTTGGAGCTCTGATGATAAAGACTTTTGAACTTTTGGCATTCAACACAGACTTACATTGGCCAAACGATGGACTAGAATAGAAAATGGCCCTTTGACAGACCAGCTCACTACAAACTGTGCACAGATTATCCACAACCCTTGGCACAGTTCTCACGATACCTTTAAGCTGCATGGAATACAACTTCTGATGTAAAAGTGTATGAATGAAACATCAGCTCCTTGGGCTTTATGTGGGATTCATCCTGAGCTTAAATTGACCCTTAACATAATGTGGAACCACTACAGCATTAGTTATAGCTCAACAAACTACAAATACAGTTCACATACTACTGTCATAATAACTAGTCTTTTGGTTAATAATCTAACCTGTTACATGAATCCATATCATTATGTATGTCTTCAACGCAAAATAAACAAAAGGTTGTAAAGGGCAAAACGCTAGAAAACATATGTGAATGAATCTAACAGTGAATATCACATTTTCATTTAAAAATAAATATATATATCAATATTTACCCCCATTAAGCCAATGTCCATACCCAAGGGAGAGACAATACAATGTGTTGTTGGTCATACAAGGCCTATACAATAAAACAAAGGCTTAAACTACTTATTTAACTTTCTAGTTTAATGTGTGTACATCAACGACTTAATAATAATAATAGATTTAATTTGTTAGCGCTGTTACAGGTATTCAAAGACGCTTTACATATATAGTGAAGAGAAAAGAAAAGAACGGAACAACAAATAAATATATAGTTAAAGTGAAATAATACAAAAACAATCACACATTAAAAGCCAGATTGAAGAGGTGAGTTTTTTGAAGGTGGTGAGGTCAGTGCAGTCTCTGATGGGTTGTGGGAGTGAGTTCCAGAGGGAGGGGGCAGCGACAGAGAAGGCTCTGTCCCCCCAGGTCCGGTGATGTGGGTGGGGATGGATATGAGGTTGGCTTCTGATGAGCGGAGGCAGCGGGACTTCTTCTCTCTCTTGCTTTGAGAGATGAGGCGATGTAACAGATACTTAACACAACTACACATCCTTGCCTATGAGCCGTAATGTTAAAGCCAAGTCCATTAAAAACGACTTGTAGCACAGCTGCTTCACCTGTCCATTTTCTTTTTTTTAACCTTCCGCTGTATTTTATGGTATCCGTCAGTTGAGCGTAACAGTGGTTATGACAACTTGTACATTTACTTTTGATTCAATTAAATTAACAATATGTGACAAGAATGTACATATGTATGTACAATTTTTTTATCGTACACCTAAATTACGTGTGGACTTGGTCCCTTCTTATTATGTCAATGATATTCACTTTACAAAGCTAATATGCTTCCAGTTTCATCGGATCTTATTACCTGAGCCCAAACTCACCCTCAGACCATAATCAGTCAAATCCAACACCAAGCACACAATTAAATAAGGCTAAATATACCACTTTAAAGCATAAATACTTTATTTTTTGTGAAACTACAGACAATATGTAGTGATAATCAAAACACTGCACTGACTATACCACATTATTTATACTTAATTAATCAAATGTTTCTTAATATCTTACAAAGAAAATCTTATTACATAATAAGTGTTACCTCTCCCATCTTACCCTCTCTGTATTACATATAACTAATATTAGATAGCAGATGGAATTATTATACCAGAGATGCACCTTTTTGCCTGATAATGACAGTTTGGGGTATAACAATAAACAAATACAAATTTGAAATCCATGAAATGAAATTGTGATTACCCAACGTGAGCACATGATTGATCCTCAACTAATGAAAGTGTGGGTGTGTTTCTGTTGGTGTGGGACAATGTGCCACTGTCCGCCTGTAATCGTTTAAATGTACTATTGCTTAAATATGTCTGCTTCTGTACACAAGTGTTTGTATGTGAACACATGTGGGCATGTCCAACTGCAGGATGTTTACAGCAGTGATAATATCAGTAGGAGTACACAGGGGTGGGTTGTGCTAATTAGTTTTCCCAGCATGCCATTCGAACAGCATGGCAATCACGGTGGGGAATGAATATTGAAAAAGTTTTCTATGCACTGATGTGGAGTCTGGAGGCTTTTGTGTTTGAACGTACACACACAACACACACACACACACACACACACACACACACACACACACACACACACACACACACACACACACACACACACACACACACTTGGCAAACGTACCACATGGCTTTTATTCAAACATTTTGCCACATTGATTTATTTGTATAGATGATTCACACTAACATTGGTTGTTAAGATCATATATATATATATATTAGGGCTGTCAAGTTAACGCGTTAATAACGCGTTAACGCAAAAAAAAAATTAACGCCACTAATTATTTTAACGCGATTAACGCATGTGTATTTTTTTTCCTCGGCCGCCCCGTAGTTTCAGAGCGCATCGAGCTTAAAATACCATCTACAAGCTGATGCTGACAGCCCCGCTCCTGCCGCCCGCTTGTGGCAGACCACACTTCCACGCTCACCGGCAGTCACCGACTGGCTGTTGGGAGGACCGGGAGGGTGTGTGTATGTGTGGCCCGAGCGAGCGAGAGAGAGACTTTACGTGCATTGTTGTTGTTAGCATCTGGTGCTAGCTAGCTGCGCTAATGGATATGGAGCTGTTGAAAACAGAGGAGCGACATTTTGCCACAACTGCGCCGAGCACTTGACTTTATGCAGGAAGCCAGACAGTGGGGCATTGTACGAAAAGTCAGCACACTCAGCACGGATAGTGCGAAACATGATTGCAGCGTCCAGGCAGCTCCCGTTCGAGCATATGCCTTGAGTTGCACATAGCTCCAACGATCCATCACACACACACACGCGCGCACACACACACACACACACCATTTGTATTGTATTATTGAATGAGAGAGGTTCCAGGTTGAATTGAGGCGAATATTTGTAATGTTCAGAGGTTGTTGTGTTTAATATTCATGAGTATATTTGTCATTGTTCAAATGATAATAAACATTAGCATAAAGCATATTTGTCCACTCATATGTTGATAAGAGTATTAAAAACTTGAAAAATATTCCTCTAAGGTACATTTAGAACAGATCAAAAATGTGCGATTAACTATGGACAATCATGCGATTAATCGCGATTAAATATTTTAATCGACTGACAGCCCTAATATATATATATAAACTTCCTCTTGACTGCCTTTTCTGTTTATTTTATTTATTTATTTTTGTTGATGTTTTTGTTTGTTTTGCCTGTCCCTGTTTGTCCACCCTCCCTCATACTGTAAAGTGTCTTTGAGTTCCAGAAAAGCGCTATATCAATATAATGTATTAGTATTAATATTATTATATGCACCTGCAGGTTCAGGTTATTTATTTGTACCCGTAGGTAGATTTTGTTTGCAGAGAAAAAGACAAGAGATCCATCCTGACACTAAAAACAAACACAAACAACACAAACGTCTCTAATATAAGGACTAGTAAAAATATACTCTGCTCAACCAAATCTCAAAAATATTTCAGAAACATTGTAAGAAGGAAAACACTAGTACAAACATGGACATTCCAAATTCCAAATTAAATAAATAATAAATAAATAGGCATCTGTGTGACACTCCTATGATGTGTTAATTTGTGCAATAGCTGCTGGGATAAAACAGTTGTTATACCGCTTCGTTCTACTCTTTGGGACAACTAACCTTAATCAATAGTCAATGTAGTTCATGTGGGAAGGACATTTTCCAAGTAAATGAGTATACAATTATGGGTTGACTGATTTCCTTTTGTTCTTCTCATGCTTTTCTCTTTAGCTCCGAGACACTAAATCCATCAGTCAGAATACAACTCTACTTCATTTCCTCGTTGAGAAGTGTGAAGAGGCTCACCAAGAGATTTTGAGGTTTCCAGATGAACTGGAGCATGTGGAGAGTGCCAGCAAAGGTATGTCTTTGTGATTTGAAAACACTATGTCATATTACTCACATGTACATTATAAAATGATAGTTACGTATGTAACTACGGTTCTATGAATCCTGGATGACCGCCAGAGGCGGTGCTTAGCACTGAATATATTCCGTCTCGCGCATGCGCAGGTAGAATATTTATATCAACAAAGTCACGTGTGACCTCGTATGACCCCAGAAGGCATAAGTTCCGGTGTTGTCAACGAGTTCAGTCCTATGGAATCTTCTCGCGGAAACATGATATTCCGAGTGACCAAGAACTATGGCGGTCATCCATGATTCATAGAACCGTAGTTATATATGTAACTATCGTTCTATTTCATCCTTACTGACCGCCAGAGGCGGTGCTTAGCACTGGATGACCTATACCAGGGGTCGGCAACAGGCGGACCGCGGTCCGGATCCGGACCCAGAGTCCCGGACCTATAATCAATACATTAATAGGGGATTTCAATTTTGACGGGGCGATTTTAACCGCTGCCGACAGGGGGCGAAAGAGACAAGTGAGCGATACAGGGAGAGAAACACAGAAGAAGAGACGAGACAGCGACAGAGGGTCCTTCTCACTTCGGTTAAATGGATTCCTTGCGTCCCTCACTTGCGTCGTTTCCCTGTGACTAGTCCCTCCCACCAGGGAAGCATGGAGAGACGCAAGGAAACCACGAGAAGCAGGGAAATGAGTTTTAAGAGCAATGGGACGTCCTTTCCTCCGTAGCGTCACGTGAAGCGACGTCCGTTTGTGATGACGCCGCACAGCTGATCGTCTGACAGCAGCTCTGTCCCCATTATTTCCACACACACCCCCGCCACACATTTACTGACACAAACATTTGTATCATCTGTTGTAGACCCAAATACATTAAATAAAATAAGAACTCATTCTCAAAAAAGATAAACGCCATTCTTAAAATGTATAAGCGAACAATAGTTAGATTAATATTGATTAGAGTGCACAAAATAAATAAAATAATTGAGAGAAGAAAAAGAGAGATGTTATCTATAAAAACCCAGTTAGATTACCATTCATTGGATTGCACACTTTGTGTGTTTGTGTGGATATGTAGCACATTAACATTTTAATAGCACTTAATGACCGACTGAATGGAAATGATAATAGGCCTAAATCAGGGATGGGCAAATGGCGGCCCGCGGGCCGCATGCGGCCCCCACCTCCTCTTTTTGCGACCCTCAGATTAATTTATAAACAACGTAATTAATAAAATGTATTTTAAAAATAACATTTTTTTTTTACTTGTAGTACTGATACCATCCACTAGACTCCTAGTTACGTCGCGAGCTGCGTAGAGGATTTCAAATACCGCGAAATAATCTGTGACGCATTTGTGTGTATTGTGTTTGTTTCCCGGGAAACCCTCACAAGAAACACCGGCTGTTGTTATGCCTGCTGTGACGTTAAGTTGCCTCTTGTAATTATGCCTTTACAAGCTTAAATGTTGTTTTTATCATCTGAATTTGGCGAAACAAGTTTAATATTCTTAAAACCAAGACTTTGTTTATTTGAAATCAGATGAAAACAAACTGTCACGGACCCTGCCGTGTTATCTATGATTACTACGCTTTTCATTCATAATTTCAGCGGGAGGGAGGGGGAGCGGTGCTGAGGAACAGCAGAGTGCGGGCTGACAGGTGTCTGTGTTGACATTCCCCTTATTGTGGAATAAGGGGAATGCAGAGACAGGCTACAAGTGTCTTAGGTTCAAGTTAGATGTCTGGGTTAGTGTTCATGTATGTCATCTAATGGTTAATCTCAATACACACACATTTTCCGTGCTTTCCAATAGTTTAAAATAGTTTTATTCCACTGTTTAACCTGTTCAATACAAACATGCCACTTGAAAAATGAAATAAAATGTCTGTGAACTGATATTTATTTAGTGAGCTTATTAGAGGATGTTCCCATTTTTGGGGGATGTTCCCTTTGATTGTAAAATGTCAATGAAGATGTCAGACTTAGTATATTTGTTAATAATTACATACAACACATGGAATTTGTGTGTGTGTGTGTGTTCCAAGTGAATCTGCAGCCCCTTGGTGGCCAGTACATCAATGATGTGGCCTCCACCACCATCAAAGTTGCCCATCCCTGGCCTAAATGAACATGTAAAACGAAAAAAGCGATCATGAAAATGTTTCCAATAAATGAATAAAATGATTGTTGACCACTTTGTTGTTCAGATACAGTATATCACATATTTGTAACTAAATGAAACATGAATTGAATCAAAACACGGTATAAACTGAGGAGTGACTCCTGTGAGGTTCATGTGTTTTCTTCACTCCGCTGGGAAACTGCTCTCATGTCAAGAAGCATCAGATCAGTGCATGCACTGCATCGTCCAATCAGTGAGCGATACACAGTAAGGGGGCGGGGCGAGTGTCTGAGGATTTCATCGGAGGATGGTCTGGTGGTTCCTCGGTTATAGCTCCTCCATTATCGCTCCTCGATCCTCGGTCCTCCGGCAGAAATAAGGCCATTGGGACGCTACTCAAGATGGCGCAGACAAATCAACTTCCGGTGAGACCGAGAGCGAGGAGCGAGGAAATGAAAAATAAGAGAAGTGAGAAGGGCCCAGAGCCTCAGTTACAACCTAGACAGAAGCGGAGAGGAAAGTACAGTAATGGCGCGTTTCTACTGCATGCCTCGCTCGGTTTGGTTAGGCCTTATTAGGCCCGGCTCACTTTAATGCTGCGTTTCCATTACAGTTTAGGAACTGGGGTAGTTACTATAGTAACGCAGTGTAGGCGGAGCCGTGACGTCATCTTCAATGAGAGCCCGAAAAAACAACACAGCCGTTAGCTCTTAGCACTCAGAGCTCACAGCTCTTCATATCTGTTCAGAAACTAGACAAAAGTTAAACAAGTACAAACCAAAGACTGCCTGTGTCATGGCGAATACAGTCGCTGGTTTATTTATGTCTGTATAGGCCGTTGTTGTGAGTGTGGACGGTCGGAGCATATATAACGTTAGCTTAGCCAAGCTCCATTTAGAAAACACACATTTTAAAAGGGTTTTTCGCCTGCCGTCTGTCTGCAGACTTGTCAAAGCATTAATTCATGGTTTTTACTAACCGGTATCAGTATGTTGTTACTTCGGCATCATTTTGAAACGTGTATTACAATTAAATCACGGTCAAATATGTTCATTGTGTTGTAGTTGTAGCCCCCTTGCCAGCGATTCTCTCTCTAGTTTAGCATACTCAGCCCGACTCAGCCTGGTTGTTCCTGGCCCTAGAACCACGATTTAGTCGGGCCAGAAAAAAGGTGAAAAAGTAGCCCCGGGCCAAAACTAGGCAAAGTGGAAACGCAACCAAAAACGGGCCCCGCACGGCTCGGCACGCTTAAAGCGAGCTACCCGCTGCAGTGGAAACGCGCCATAAGTGAAGATAATAATTAGCGATACCAGTGTTGCCAACTTGGCGATTTTCTCGTTAAATTTGGCGGCTTTCCAAACCCTCCGGCTACTTATTTGTGTCAAAAGCGACTAACGACTAATCTAACAATTTATAATGGTGTTATTAGGGACTTTTCTGGTGTTTGGAGACTCACGTATTGTTCTGCAGTTAACGAGCCGCGGGTGCTGCCGTGAGCCCCGCCTCCCTCCCATAGTACAGTTGCCTGGCCGCAGCAGAGCTGCTGCTGCAGTCAGAGCAGAGAGGAGACAACCACACTCCCCCGCGTTGAGACTGCAAATGAATTGCGCATGCGCCAACTGCCAACCCGTCCTGGTTTTGAGCGGGATTTAAATGTAAAATGTAAATGTTTCTTCACTCACTTTCACACTATAATAAATAACTGCCTTTGCTTTGCTTTGCCTCACACAGCCTCAGTCACTCAATCACCTCGTCCACTGTGTGTGTGCCTCTCTGTGACAAGCTAAACATCATGGCACAGTCTAAATTGTATTCTCAAAAATACAGAAAGGAGTGGGAATCAAACCCTGAGTATAAAGGATGGTTGAAGCCATTAATTGGAGATGACACACGGGCATACTGCCTTTATTGTAAGGGGGATTTATATGCCAAACGGTCTGACATCAAGAAGCATGTTAAAACCCCAAAACATACTCAAAAGGCCTTTACCATGCTCTCTCCTACAGCCGCAATTACATGATATGCAAATTAGGCGATGACGTCATTTAGCGACTTCTGGCGACTTTTCGGACAGCCAATAGCTACTTTCCTTACTATGGAGTTGGCAACACTGAGCGATACAGGGAGAGAAGCGGAGAGGAGAGTGAACAGGGGTGTTAGCGGCAGACAGGGAGAGACAAATAATTACACATGGTGCTCTCCAAGAAGAGGAAAGTGGGCAGTGAGAACAGAGCTTTTAACCCTGAGTGGACTCATTCATGTTCATCCTGCCCACTGGGAGCACAGAACCAGTGAGTCTCATTTGTTCAGAGACCGTGGCGCTCATTAAAAGTGCCAACACGCCACTATGAGACAAAACACAAAGTGTTTGACCAAACATTCCCTCTCAAGTCAGAACTGAGGTCACAAAAAATAAATATCGTTCCAGGGCAGGCTAACCGAGGCTAACCAATGAGGATCTGCATGTGTGTATGAGAATGGCCCTGACACCATTTCAGCCCAGATTTAAACTCCTGGCAGGACAAGCTCAATTCTCGCACTGAATTTTAAAAAAAGTGAGTGAGGGACTGCAATATAAGAGGGAAAGAAAGAGGAACTTTAAAACTGTTCAATTGTTATGATGTGTATCGTCTGAAACTGTTAAGTCATGATGTGAAACGGTTAACAAAGAAAAACGGAAACTCAAGCTGCTGCTACACTTTATATTATTTATCTACAATTAAGCACTTTTAAGATGCACACATTTTCAAAAGCTATTTTATTTATTTTCTCTATTTTATTTTTAAATGCAGCCCGAGAGGAACATTACACATATCCACAGTATTTTAATCTGTATAGTTCAATGTTAATTGACAATACATATTGT